TTGGGCACTGCTGGGCACCTGGAGATGCCGCCAGGAGTCTCCTTTCCTGCCTGATAAATATAGCAACTTCGCTTCAGCACGTGCTGCTTGCTCCTTTATGCAGAGTATAATCCTGTGCCCAAAGGCCGCTGTCCTCCGTCCTTGCCGTTCGGCCGTCGCCGCGGTCCTGCCGAGTGCCCTGGTTTCTGGCAGCGCCGTGGCCTGGCTGTGGCTCTGCCGCAGGAGGCTCCGGTGCTTCCCGGGCGGCAGCTCCGCGGGCTGCGCGGCTCCCTGCAGCGCCCGGCTGGCCCTTGGCTGCTCTCCATGGGAGAGCGGCGCGGCAGAGCTGCCCGGGGCCGTTTCGAGATCCGCCTCTGCAAGGTGCATACGGGGGGCAGGTGGATTGTTTTAGGCTTTGGGAGCCGTAGCCCTTGCCTGTTTCTCCCTGTTCGGCGGTGTTTGTGCGTCTCAGTGGAGCGTAGCCCCCTCCTGGTTCACGGGTATCTTTAAGTCAGGCTTTCTGCAACGCTGGCGACTGCTTCTTGGAGTGCCCAGGGCAGTGAGGAGCTATAGGAAATAACTGTAATTTGTCACCACCAGCACCAAGGGGTGGCTGCAGGCTGCAGCCACTGCTGGGCAGCTCTCCTGGGGACTTTGCTTTGGGGTAAGGGGTGCAGGATGCCAATCCAGTTCCAGTGCCTTATCCCTGGCTGTGCCGGCCCCCGCAGCCCTCTGCCTGCACTGCAGAACTTGGGATCTGCGCCCGGGGCAGCCAGGAACAGGGCCAGTCCTCCCCATACCAAACCTCAGTTTGGGGAGTTAGTGTTAAAGAAAGAAAGAAAGAAGATCCTGAGTGGAAGCTGTGTGGCCCGTTTTGCTCTAGGTAACCATGTTCCTGGCTCCAGCTGCCTCGGCCTTCACCTCCCGCTGCTCCCTGTGCAGGGTCCAGGCTCTGCAGCTTCTCAGCCCCCAGGATCCTTCAGCCCCAGTTCTGCTGCAGTCTGTGCTGGGAGCAGGGCCCAGCGCTGCTGCGGTGTGAGGCCAGCGCGGTGCTGAGCGCCGAGCCCTGCCTGCCCCGGCGCGTCCCGGCGCTGCGAGGGCCGCAGAGCTTTCCCAAGCTCCAGGGCTTTTCCAGGGACAGCTGCCATGCCTCGTCTCAAGTGACTCTTGGCCAGGGCTCAGGTACTGGGGATTTTGTGTCCGTGGCCTCTATTCAAGCCCGTTTTCACCGGTGGAGCCGAGGCCAGCAGCAGACTGCCTTGCTGCCGGGGATAAGCCTGCAACTTGGTACAATTAAAAAATAACAACACACAGGCATTTCTCCAAGGTCTAAACATTTGCTGTCATGCCAAGAAAAATATCTTGGATGGTTTCTCAAGTAGAGCCACCTGGCATCATCCGCTGTAGCACAGAAAACAGGGCACTCGAGCTAAGAGACGCTGCAGGAGGGGGCAACACACGCGACCCCCCCGGCCTGCAGTTTCCCCGTGGCCACGGCCGTGCGGGCTGGAAATGGAGAGTTTGGCACCCACCGGTGGCAGGGGCAGAGCCTGGGGGCTGCAGGGCCCTGCGCCCCATGGGGACACGGCCGGTGGGATCTGGGTGAGCCTAAGTCAGCCCGGTCCGAAACCGCTTCTCTCTAGTTCGGGAGCGACGATGGGAAAATTGAAATTTGAAACATCTCCAGCTATTGAGCGCTTTTGGATTTATTTTTTGTCCAATGGGATGCTCAGCATGCACATGGGGGTTGTGCTCTCTTGCTGTTCCAGGAAAACAAGCATGAGGAGAAAGCCGCGGATCCCGGCGGCGCGCGGGAGGAGACCCCGGCAGCGGCGGCGATGGGCAGCAAAACGTGGAGGGAGCTGGCGGCGGAGCTGAAGCTGTTCCTGTGGAACCCGGAGGAGAGGACCTGCATGGGCAGGACTGCCCGCAGCTGGGGTAGGTGCCTCCCTCGGGAGCCTCCGGAAAACACGGCTGCTTGCGTCCCGCGGCGGGCACGCCTGCGACGCTGTGCGCTCCCGCCACGGAACTGTGCAGGTGGATGCTTCCGACCAGGGCGGGAGCAGGTGGAGAGGCCACAACCCGTGGGTGCCTTGGGAAAGCTGCCCTGCAACCTCAGGTCACGGCCCACAGCGCTTGCGTGGCTCCTCCCTCCTTGTGAAAGAGCCGCCGGGCCGGGGCTGGGACGGGCTCTGCTGGGCGCCGCGGAGGGGATGAGGAGCACCCGGGCTGTGCGAGCGGAGCGGAGCAGGGATGGGACCGCGCGCAGGGAGAGACCCTGGTGGGGTGGGGACAGGGCAGGGTGGGAAGGGAAGGGACGGGACGGGACGGGACGGGATGGGGTGGGAAGGGAAGGGACAGGGCGTCCCCGCGCGGTTCCCAGCGCTGCTGCCCCGGGGAGCCCGCGCGGGCCCCGCGCAGCTGCGTTCTCAGGGCTCCCGCCGCCTTTCTCCTGGGAAACGTTTGCTGTGGGCCTCGTGTCGCATGGCCCCTTTGTCCCGGGCCGTGTTCTCTGGGGGCCACCTCGGCCGTCAGGCGGCCGCAGAGGAAAAATAAACACTGTTCCCCGGACATGGGGCTGCTGACGCAGCCTCCCGACCCGGCGAGCCTCCGCCGGCTTCGTCCCCAAGGACAGAGGGACCCGTCCCGCTCCCAGCTGGCCGGCGCCTCCTTCCTCCCTGACCGGCGCTCGGCACGTTGGAGCTGGCCGGCCCCGATCCCGCGTGCTGTTCCCCACCGTTTCCGCTGGGCAGGGGCCAAGGTCAGGCCTGTCTGCCCACGTCTGAGAGCCAAGGGAAAGGAGATGCCCAGGCCAAAGCAGCCCTGGAGCAACCCCACCAGGATCCCTGCCGAAAATGCAGGGGTGCCGGGTCCGTGTGCCAAGGGGGCTGGGATCCCCGCGGCTCCAGCACTCCCAAATCCCTGCGGGAACAACCATGACAGTGAGGCGCTCTCTCCCATTCCCAGGCCTGATCCTGCTGTTCTACGCGGTGTTCTACACGTGCCTGGCGGGGATGTTCGCCTTCTGCATGTACGTGATGCTGCTCACCCTGAGCCCCTACACACCCACGTACCGGGACCGCGTCGCCCCGCCAGGTGGGTGCGCGGCCCCTTGCTCGCTGCGGTGAGTTAGGGAAGCTTCTATAGGGTAAAATTTGTTTTGGAAAATAAAACCAGCAGCAAAGGTGTACCTAGGACTGCATCCCCGTAGGTTCTGCCTGTCCCTGTCTGCTGCCAGTCCCAAAGGCTGGTCCAGCCAAGCCCTGCCATGCAGCATGCACAGCCCTGGGCAAAACCCTTCTGCAGCTGTTTGTTCCTGCAGACACCCCGCGAGTGCTCTCGTGGGTCCGTGCACAGCACTGCCACCTCCAGCGGGACGGTCCTCTGGAGAGCAGGACTCCTAGGCCAGTGTGAGGCCTCTCTGATTCCTTCTGATTATTACCTTATAAGTGTCCGTGATGTAAATGGACAACTTCAGGCTTTTCCGAGGTTATGGTCTCTCATTTCGACTGCTGCCCCTTTGTAGCTTGTATCTTCAAAATATAAACCAGACTAGCTGTATCTGTTACCATTTGCAGAAAGAGTGGTGAGATGATACTCAAGATCTCCTTTTGCAGTCACAAATAGCATTTTCCCTGCACTTTGCCTGTCTCCCTGCTGCCCACGCAGAGCAGGGGGATGTCCCCCCGTGCTGCTCTTCCCTTTGAGCGACCCCGAGCCCACGGCAGGTCGGCCAGCGCCTGGTCTGTCTCGTTCTGCAGGAGTCATGATCCGACCCCACCTGAACGGGTTCAACTTTGCCTTCAACGTGTCGCAGCGCAGCACGTGGCAGCCCTACGTGGACAGCATGCACCGCTTCCTGCAAGGTGAGCTGCGAGCGGGGGGATGCCCACCCAAAGCTGCAGGCACCACCAGGAGCCCTGCACCACGGGCTCTCCTCGTGGGGCACGGGGAGCTCTCGGCACCTCACGGTTCCCGTCTAGGGAGTGAGGCTTGCAGGGCAATCGCAGGGGTTCTGGCTGCATGGCATCATCGAGACAGGCGTTTCCAACTGCCTTGAGGCAACGGCTCCTCTGGGAGCACAGGCAGGTCCCCAGAAACACTGACTCTTGGTTCCCATCAGCTTATGATGACAAGGTTCAAGAAGAGAAGAACATCGAGTGCGTGGCGGGGCGCTACTTCATCCAGGGGGGCCCCGAGGGCGAGGAGAAGAAGGCCTGCCGCTTCCGGCGCTCCCTGCTGCAGAGCTGCTCCGGGATCGGGGACCCGACGTTCGGCTACTCGCGGGGCCAGCCCTGCATCCTGCTCAAGATGAACCGGGTACGGGAAAACCCAGACGCCGTGACAGGCTGAGGGTGCTGCCTTGACGCTCTCCCGCTTGTCAGACCCGGGGAAGGGGAGCTACAAGTCCTTGACTCCAGTTTCCTTATAACAGCTA